GAAGCTAGACGCCGCATATCGACTATTTTTTGTTTCGTTGAAAACCTTTTCTGTACTGAAATGCAATTCTAAAAGCCTTTGAAAATATCATTCTATGTATTTCAATGTTCTTTTCCAAACGAGTTTATCCTCAGGCTTGCTCATTGCACTGATCCGATTAATTTGCCTTATCAGTTTAGTTATAAATTCTAGGGCGAGCATATAACATCACCAGAAATTATGAAGTAATAAAATAATTTCAATATCATGAATAGATAATTCACATTCGATAACACTTAGGTTAGAACATTCACTACCATGACTGCTATTGTTTTTGAGATAATTGCTTTTTCTTCAGAAATGTCACTTTGAAAAATGTTCAAAATGAGATCGAATAACTATACTTCCGATCCTGATACCTCATGAGTATCTCATTAATTTGAGCTGATCTATGTATCCTACATGTAAGAGCCAATTCCGTGATAACAATTGAGCAAAATTCAGTAGAAATGATCGTAGCTTAAGTGCAATGTCTCCTAGAGACCATATTATGACAAACATATTGAATACACTTTCATAAAATCTATAAATATTCTCATTTATATTATTGAACAGCAAAAAATCAATATTCATCTTTTCTCTATACATTGTTTAATGATAAGAAAATTTAAAAAAAAAATTTTTCACCGAAGTTATTGTTTCGTATCGTAGATATTTATTGATTATCTAAATAATATAATCTTATGTATAGATTATTATCATACTTGTTAGTAAAATAATTCTATGTAAATAGAGTTATTTCTATTATTATGTTTCTTATAGTGTAAGATTTTTAAAGTATGTCTGATTGGTTTTAACCACTATGGGAAACATGATCTCATAAATATATGTGCATGATGAACGAGTTCATTATAAACCTTAGATTGCATGAAAATAACGAGACTCTTTGAACCATCAATGGATCATATTTTATTATAATTTTGCGCGTCTATGGCGGGTAAATATTAGTATATTTATTGAATTCATTGAAGAAAAAACTTGGAATGTAAGTTTTTCCAATGTTCTAAATAGTTAAATATCGAATGTCTTTTTTCTTGTCTGTATTCTGATGAAACTTGAGGCCGACACCTCACCCGAAATTATGGATTTTCCTAGATAAAAAAAAGGTTCGATGGTGTGCTATTTTGATTATGGTTGTCGATATATTATGTGATACAAAGTCAAACAGATCTTGCCCGGATGATAGTGATGCTTTACAAGTAAGAATTGGAACAGGTGATGTATTATATGCTGGAACAGATTCTCAAGTTAGTGTTGTTCTGCGTATTGAAAATGGTGTTATTTGTCAAGTCTTGGATTTGAATAATTCTAGTAATGATCGTGAACGGCATATCTTCGATGAATATGAAATTTGTTGTTCAAAAGAATTCAATCAAGATGATGGGTTAACGATAGCAGCTTTTGCTCAATTACCAAAAGGAAATTTTGTTCCTTTTATCAGTGATGATTGGTTTATTGAACCTATTGAAGTGCACAAGAATAAAAAACTTCTCTTCGAATATTGTTTTCATACTTGGACATTATTTTCAAGTAAATTCATGTTTGGCGTATCGAAAATTAACAACAAAAACTATACTCGCTTTTAAATTATTATTCTCTTCTTTTTTTTTCTATAGAATCATGCAACTTGTGACATGTTTTTTCGATCGGAATTATTTTTGTTTTAGAGAAAAGTGCACTCTAGTACGATACATTCAGTCGAGCTGACACTCTTTTCTAATAGTAGTCGGAAGTGTTTGGATTACATATCGTTCGCTCTACGATGGCAGGAAAACTTGATTTTGATATATATTCTTTTTTCCTCACTTAAAATATCCATTAAGAGAATGGAAACGTGCTTACTGACGACATTGTTTTTCTTTCGTTTTTTAACATCAGACAAACACAAAAATAAATCGCATTTTTCTCACACTTTGTGTTGCTCGAAATAACAAATGCAAGTTGAATAACTCATTCGAAAAAAAAACGTTTTAAGCAAGAATCTACCATGCTTCGATCGCTAAACACGACAAACAGTTCGCTTATTCTTTTTCACCTGCATCAATGTGTACAGAGGAACAAAATGAATCAGGCTTATTCATTCTAAATATGTAACAAAACAAAAAAAGTTATTGCACAACTTATACATATAAAAACTGCAGTCCAGTTTTCATTATGTCTTACTTTCTGATTCAATATTCTTTAGTTGTAATTGACAAAAAATGGATTCAGACACCATAGTTATAGCTGCTTTCTGTTTTACCATGATAAATATTATACTTTTTGCCCCATTTCCTGTAACTTTCATAACTGGTTATCAAAATTACATTCAACTTCCAAAGACACAACAACAGACTCAATGCCGAGTTAATGAGTCGAGTATTTTGAAGTTGACTAATAGAAGATTTCAAGCGATATGGACTGTCACTTATAATGACAGTCAATCAGAAAAAGTGTCAAAAATCTTTTCAACTGATTACTCAACATATACAGATGCAATCGAAGCAACAATCAATCAGTATAAAGTAAAGAAAAATTTTTGCTCAGAAAAAAGTGATAAGTGAAAGACAATTACGAATTTGAAACTTCGCTCTAGTGAGTTGAAAAACAGATATTATTTTCGGCTTATTTTTAGACTGGTCAGATTTATACATGTTATTTCAATATAGAAAAACTCTATGATTTACTTTGGACAATTGATGATAAAGTTAACCAAGGTAGACAAAACTGGAACATTGCATTAATTTGTGGAATTTTAATTATTATCGTTTGGATAATACCTATTGCCTACATCTGTTACAAATGCTACAAAAAGATGAAATTCAATACAAACAAAAAATGGATTAATTTATAAGAGATGTGCATAAACTTAAGCCATATGCAAATTATTCATGTAAAAATCAATTGGTGTAATGTATTTTTAATATTCAAAACTTATTTTAATTGATTTCGATGAAAAGATAAAAAACCTTGTTGGATTAGAAGTTCCTAAATCTCTCTTTCTCAACCAATATAAAAGATCGCTGGGTGTGGGTCGCCTCTTCACTCACAATCGCAACTATACCAATTCAGTCATTGATTTGCTTCTTTTTATTTTTATACACACCTCGACTTCGAGTTCTTTTATTGTACATACAAATACCGAAAGAAAATGAAAAGCTTCCAATCTTTCAAACATTAGCTACGGCCTTAAAACTCGTCTGCGATGGTGAACCACATGCTTTGAGAAATCTTTTTCAAAGCACGCCTTGTCTTCGGCATTTAACCACCGACATGGGATGTAATTTTTCAATGGGCATCAATGAAAACAGATGATTACGGATCATTTACCCAATCTTAAAACGTTTTGATTCAGAATACTTAAAAATCTGCAACACATCCACGTCACCGATGAACAAGTCGAACAACTCACTAATTAATACATTTGAAACTCATTTTTGACTTGATGAATATCAGTGGTATGTTTGCTGTGGTTGGGAACCGGGTGTGGGATGTGGGTGTGGGTGGGTGTGAAGACGTATGTGTTCATCTGTGTGAAAACCCACACCCACACCCCGGTTCATTGATTTTCTTTGAAAACGATACGTAATCACATAACTTATGTAAAAATAACAGTGTCTGCATTATCAATCTGATATAGATAAAATATCTCTGACATGCTTTCTATTTGAATTCTATTAATATTGATGAAAATAAAGAATGTCAAAGCTTTACCTTCTCAACAATTTCATTGTCAAATAGCGACATCTCATTTGGTCTTTCGTTCTAAAAATGTGTCAAGATTACCTCAAATTTAACATTTATAGAAATCTATGATGTGTTTTTCGACATTTTTGGTGACTCATTCTCAAAGTGAGGCGATCATTGACAATGGTATGGTATAGTATTTTGAGTCACAGAAATGTAGATGTAGCTGAATCATCTCTCTGACGAAACTGATAAAAATTTCTTTCAGTCGACTATCGAATACTGACGTCATTTACAACATGAAAATATCCCATGAAACATTTCTATAAATCTTC